GTGTTGCATAAAACATGCCACATGTGGACATGCATTGTTGTGGAGAACAAGAACATCTTTCAGATTGATGAGTGAAGAATGTTTCTGATGAAAGGCTTGATGTAAGTGTTCCAGTTGTTGACTATAGATCTCCACATTGACAGTTCTCTGTGGATTGAGAAGTTCGAAATGAATTACTCCTTTGATGTCCCACCAAATGCAAAGCATCACTTTCTGCAGATGGAGTCCAGGTTCTGGAGTCAGAAGTGGTTTTTGTCTAGGACCGAGCCATTGTTTTCGGCGTTTAATATTCGCATAGAAAATCCATTTTTCATCACCAGTGACAATTCTGTCCAAAAATGGTTCACGCGCATTACGTACCAGAAGAGATCACACGATGATCATTGGAAAGTTCGTGAGGCACCCAAACATCTTCTTTATGGAGTTTTCCCATATTCCTTAGATGTTTACATATTGTTTCACGAGAGACATGCAATTTGAGGGCCATTTCATGAACATGTGTTGCCTTGGGTTAGACTCAACAAATGTCTTCAGAGCATCAATATCATTTCCAACATGTCGGCTCCTGCAATCACAGTTTTGAAGACTAAAGTCACCTGAACGAAATTTACTGAACCATTGTTGACACTTATGAATGTTCAAAACATTTTAACAACCTTCTTTGATATTATTTGTGGCTACAGAGGCGTTGTTTTCCTTCTTGTATTCAAACAATATTACATGCTGAATGTGTGTCTCATTGTGAGCCATCATTAAAAGGGATTAGAGTATACTAAACTTTACACATTATATAGATTACACTAATATGACGTTTAAGTGGTTTGTTTAACTATTATACTTGATGGACGTTTTTTGGGGGGATGGTTAATGAAAATACTCCAAAACGCGACATTAATTTCTTGATGACCTAATATAAACCCTTACCTTGATAGTTCTGTATTAATTAATTACATACCCACCCTCCTCTTCTGTTTAAAAATACTGTCATATCTGAGTCATTATCATATTAATTGTCTCTTCTATCAAAGAGTGGACTGGCTCATTTTATTGGTTTGTTTTTGGAAGTGAACGACAGTTGTCTTCTTTGTGTAAAAAGTATCTAGAAAAGTTTGGTTTGAATTTCGCGAAAAGTTACACGAGGGCTATCTGCACTAGCCGTCCCTAATTTAGCAGTGAAAGACTAGAGGGAAGGCAGCTAGTCATCACCACCCACCACCAACTCTTGGGCTACTCTTTCACCAACGAATAGTAGGATTGACCATCACATTATAATGCACCCACAGATGAAAGAGCAAGCATGTTTGATGGGATGGGGATTCGAACCCGCGACTCTCAGACTACGAGACAAGCACCCTAATATCTAGAGAAAAAGGGACGATGGTTGGTTTCTTTGTGTAAGAAGTATCTGGAGATATAACAACAGTTGTTTTTTTTGTGTAAGAAGTATTAGGAGAGAGAGAGACAATGGTTGGTTTCTTTGTGTAAGAAGTATCTGGAGAGATAACAATGGTTGGTTTCTTTGTGTAATAAGTATTAGGAGAGAGAGAGACAACGGTTGGTTTATTTGTGTAACAAGTATCTGGAGAGAGAGACAATGGTTGGTTTCTTTGTGCAAGAAGTATCTAGAGAGAGAACAATGGTTGGTTTTTTGTGTAAGAAGTATTCCGGAGAGAGAGACAACGGTTGGTTTCCTTGTGTAATAAGTATTAGGAGAGAGAGAGACAACGGTTGTTTTTTATGTAAGAAGTATCCGGAGAGAGAGACAACGGTTGGTTTTTTGTGTAAGAAGTATCTGGAAAGAGAGACAACGGTTGATTTTTTGTGTAAGAAGTATCTGGAAAGAGAGACAACGGTTGTTTTTTGTGTAAGAAGTATCTGGAAAGAGAGAGATTAATTGCTCCAACTGTCCACATCTTAAGTAAAGTATCCAATCTATATTTTTTGTTGATCGCTTTTTTTGCCGTTAAAGCAGTTGTGCGTGGCATATTATAATTTGGATCTTTATTAGTTTACAAATAAAATTATCCGTTTTTCAACGTGTTTATTAGGCACAATCTACAGGGAAAATAGGATCTCTATCACAACTAGTTGGTATATAACCTAAAACGGTGTGTGGAGTTGGGGCTGGGGGTTACTTCTTTCTATATTATTTCTTGTGCACACTTAGAAATGAAACTTAAAAACCTCCATATATATATTATGAAATCGTATGGCCCTTAAAATATTTCGTTTTCAATTACGGTCGAACGTTTGAACATTCCAAGAATCAATCTTATGCTTTTTTCATTGACAAGAAAATATAAAAAAAAAAAGTTTTCGTATTGTTATTAAACAGTTTTGATTAACCAGAAACAGGCGTAATAATAATAATAATTCATTTACAGTGTAATATTTTCGAACTACAATTCCCCACAGGTCAGTACTTTTGGAACACTGGCTTTGAACAATCACTAATTCGCCAGGTGTATTTCTCTCTTCTTGTTGTAATTCAAGATACATCGGCTCCCAGTGGTTAAGCGGTAAGTTCGTTTTGATACCTGCGATGGGCGAAGCACAGCTAGTCTATTGTGTAGCTTTTGTGCTTAACAACAACCAAAGTACCCTTTATCGAAATAAGGGTATATCATTAAGATGAAAATAACAACCGAATAATAATTTACTGCATATACAAAGACGCAAAAACAAAATAATATGTTTGGACAATGCTTTCATATAATTCTCAAATTTGAAAGCAATAGCCCCATCCCCAGTGGCTCAGAGATAATTTTGGGGATTATAACGCTAAAAAATTGGTTTCGATACCTGTGGTGGGCAGAGCACAAATAGCTCTTTGTGTAACTTTGTGTTTAGTAACAAACAATAACAATCGGTGAAACTTTAGATAAAATAGACATAGTAGGTTTGAGACTTTAACTGACTACAACTGCTCGTTGAATGAAACGAGAACAACATTTCGGCATCTTGAAGACCTGAAGAAGGTCTCAGTATAGAAGCCAAAAACTGATCTGTTAGCAATATCGTGAAGGACTTCTGTGGTTATGGAATGTTTTGTTTTTTTCCTAATAACTTTGATAATTTTCTAGATCTAACCTTTAAAGTCTGTGTATGTACATTTATGTCATTTCACAGATTTTTATAATTTATAATATCAAGCGAAGGTTTTATTTGCCCACCTCAGTCTTCCCTATTTAAAAGTGAAGATGATGATGTGTCCTCTTCATTGCATGTTGCCTTCAAAGCAATGACACAATCTGAAAGACAATGTCAACTTCTCTGCCATCCTCACTACCTGTCCAACTATGTAGCCAATGGTTGCTTCTTTATACGCTGATAGGCTTAAGATGTTTGACACATCTCAGAGCCGTAGGAAGCGGTAAGACTAGTCAGACCATGGCCTAACTGCTTTTTCATGGTATGTATAAACACGTTTTTTCAATTATCGTTCTTACTTTTAGACGCGACCACTAGGGCGGCGATACTGTTATCAACGTCATTGCACTAGTGAAAGAAAACGTAAACAAATTGACAGACTATCAATAAATCTTATATTTTTACCGAAACTGAATCATATAGTGATTTATTCAAAACCATCAGACGTGAATAAAATTATTAATTGGATCGATGATATGAGAAATTGGCCAAATGTTATGTATGGTGATATATACAACTAGTTGATATCATCAAAGGCAGTCGATGATCAGAAGATGAGAAACTTCAAAACCTTGCAGAGTTACAAATATTTTCAAAGTGGTAAAGTAGGTCAAATTTTGCACCAAAATAATGAAAATAATGACATTATTTTGAAAACAGACTTCCGTGCCTCACAAAATATATCAAAAACAAATCAAGTTCCAGAAGCCAAAACCTCGTAGGGACTTATAGCCAGAAGATGATGAAACATACCTAGCACACGTAACATACCATTTTACGTTTCAGAACTCGAAGTAAGTGTACAAATATTTTATAAAATTACAATACAATTACGCTAACATTGAAAATTGTGCTAAATTAAACGTTTACAATCTAAAATAAAAACCTAGTACCTTAAAAATGCGTAAAACTTACTGATTTTTGATAACATCCTTTTGCACATGTATCAAATGCAGAATGCGCTATAAGTGCTTTCAGCAATAGATTAAACACAAATCTAAACAATTGTATTCACTCCTTTGCTACCGCTTAGCGGTACTTCTCTGGGCTTATAACGCTAATAATCGGATTTCGATATCCGCGATTGTCAGAGCACAGATAACCCTTTGTGTACTTTTGCGCTTAATAACAAGCAAACAAACAAATATCTTACAACATTGTATGATACTTTATTTGCTTCTCAGAAAATTATTTTATTCGCCACTAAGAAAAACTATTTCTCGCAAATTTACTTTCAAAGGATTTTATTATTATAGAATTAGCTAAATTTTCAGAGAATATTGTTATAACAGCGGAAGTCAGGTGACGCTGGGAGCATGCGCGCTATAGTTTCTCGAAGGATCATGAATTTGCCCGGCAACTCTAGTCTGATTGAGATGCCCTCTTTTTTTAATATATAAGCCTGGCAATGAATACCAGAGGGGTATAGATAATTGAGTCAAGCGAACGGTAGTGAGTGTAGAAATTCTGTGTATTAATAAGTTGTATCGAGGAAGAATAAACTGGTTTAACCAAGAAAGGACTTGTATCGCTGAATTTTCTCGGAAACAATTTCTACCGGAAATTAACAAACAAGCAGGTACATAACAATATAGTTTTCAAAAGTTATGATTTACAGGTTGAAAGCTGGTAAAGTATTAGAAGCTAATAGATATAAATTTAGTGGTAAAAATTGCGTTAACTGCAAATGGTTTTTGTTTCTCTCCTCAACATTCTTCTTAATTTGTCCATTTCTGTTTCAAAATCATTGGCATGTAAAAATAACATTTAAAGACCTATAAATATATAACTTTAACAATTAGAGGGCGCTGCTATTTATCAGCCGGCACGTGATATATATATATGGACTATCAAAACAAGGAAATAGTAAATAAGAAACTAATATGACCAAGTAAAGAACGTATAATATTTTAACTTCTAGCAGCAATGTAATTAAAAATATATAAATCGAAAATGTTAGATTAAACATTTTCTTACTAAGTATTAGCGATTATAATAATGGAATAAACTCAATACTGGCTATTATAGTACACATTTTGCCAGCCGTGCGTTCAGTTTCTTTTCAATTGTTTCGTTGAAACAAGGGTGAAGACTTTAGAGTTGATAACACAACTGTAAACGTCATACTCTTAGTTTTAGCGATGTCGTCTCCCCAAGATACTTCCGAATCATCAGCAGCTCAGGACGCTTTAAGTTTAAGCTCTTCGGCCAGATTTAGTGAAAGGGTAAACAAAATATATTTAACTTTTTTATTATTACAATATAGTTCAGTACCAAACAGAAATTGAAACATACGTTTCATATACTGCAATTAATTAATGTAAATAGTCTAATAGTAATAGTAATACTACATATCCAAATATCTCCAGTCAGCACTGCATTTTCGGGAAAAAACAACAAGAAGAAGAATTTTTAGGTTTAACTCATTGATCAAAAACATCATACCACCTGTGCAGGAAAGCCAATATCTCCAGTACATAAGTTTATTCTGATATATTTGTGTGTGTGTGTATTTCATTCTTAATCCTCTTAAATTCTTAAAGTTCATGCCAAAACATTTAAGTTGTTTTTTTAAGTACAAAGGTTGTATCTTGTTTTCCATAATTAAACCTAAGTTTACTCTACATGCAACTAAAGTATGATGTATTTTAAGATATTTTGTGAAATGTCTGTATGGAAAAGAGAAATATGGGTTAAACCTTTTGGTCAAACAAAGCCCAATTTAGACCCAAAAGTCTCATTTATTTTTAAGTTGTATATATATATATATATAATATTTTAGTTCAGTCTTTCTTACATCTAACTTGTGATACTAGTAGTAAACTGAGTCTTACTTTTCTTCAGATTTTAAGTGACAAATATGTTGAAAGAAATGGTAAAGAAGGTTAGTAGAATGGCTTAGAGAACATTCTCTGATATATAGTTTAGGCAGAGTATCCATATTGAGTTGAATGTGAAATGGGCAGCAACTGGCTATTAGAGAAACACTTGAAGAAAGATATTGGTGACTGTACAATCTACTTATGAAACTCAAATGTAGAGGATGATGTTTAGAATGTCTTCAGATGGAAGACTTGAAACCTCGTCCTCTACACTTGAGCAGCTTAGAGAGTACTTGGCTAGAATGGGTTGTTAACTCTAGTTGGTATGGACACTTAGATATTCAGGAAATTTAAAGAAGTTTAAAATATCACAGTTTTTAAAATGATTGTATTAACTCTTGGAACACTTTGTATATGTAGCAACAAGTTTCTGAAGACTACTTTTAAATGCAGATTTGTGTTCAAGCAAATTTCAGAGAATTCTTTCTTCAGTGCTAATAATTTTTTAAGAAAAATTTAATTACATGAAATATACTGTGACATAAAAGTAGACTATACCACAGATTTATTAGATTATAAAATGTGTTTACGTGTTCTAATTACATTTTCCTTTCAGTTTTCTTGTTTTGGAAGGTCATGCTCTGAATGGACCTTGCTGGTTTTATCAATGATGAATGTCTTCATCATAATCGGAATATCTGCTAAAGAGCTCCACTCATCATTATCACAGAGAACTTGTGATCCCAGCTTTATCTTCAGTATTGCAGTTTTGTTTGCAGCAGGTTAGTTACTTTGTATTGTATTATACAAATGTAATAGCTTTTAAGTGAGATTGTATGTAAACTAGCCATAAAAAACAATTTCTTTTACCTAAAGTTTATCTAGGAGGTTAATTTTTATTTGCATACTAACATTTACCTCAAGTGGATACTTAAATCTTGTCCGATTTATGACCCTCTCCTTTTTTCACAGGACCATGTTAAGACTCCTCTTCTTACTTTCCCTTCTTCTTCTGAATTATCAACAACCTTACCACCGCTGTGTACAGAAATACCACTCATCATCTTTCTTTCCAATCTATTTCAATTAACTTAATTCCAATAGTTTTGGCCAGCAGACCCTATAAAATGCCTTTTCCAAAAAGGGTTAATTGTCTCACTTTTTCATGCATCAGATCAAATCTTCTTTGTTGCTCAAAGTTTCACAACTGTTCGTACTGTTTTCCACTAAGCTTCTTTCACTTTCTCAGGTTCTCTTTTTATTTATTTAATTTTGCTTCTTCTTTTCATTATGTTTACAGTTTTCCATTTTCTCCTTTCTTCCATCATTTATGTAATGTTTTCTGTGACCCTTGGCTTCTTATTATCAGATTCTTAAGCATGTTTCAATGACTTCCTACATATTTATCAGTTCTTTTCTTGGTTCCATATTTAACTTCTTTTCTGTACTTCACTCAGTTTTTACATTTCAAAAACTAAAATTCCATCTTATCTTCTTACTTCCTTGCTAAAAATTGTGTTTCAATATTCATGGTTGGCACAGCATAGATAGCCCATTGTGTATCTTTGTGCTTAACTACAAACAAACTTATTTTCTTTCACTCTCTTCAGTTGCAAATTTTGTTCTTAATTACAAGACTGTGACATGATTCTGCATGTCCACATAAGAAACTGAGCCAACAATGTAAAATAATTTAAATGTAAAAATTATTATATAGTAGTAGTATTAATTAAACTAACTTTAAAAAATGAAAATAGCTTTCATTCCATAGATTATACAGATCTTTTGAATCTGTACGTTTTGCTTTTAAATAGAGAAAAACATGATTTGTTTGAAATAATTTAATACTGGCTGTTTTCACCAGTGTAATTTAGTTATTATGTCAAACATATCCACATACATGTTTATATCTTGAAGAAAAGTACAGTCTCTAATAATGTATATGTAGATTAAAACACGATGAGATGAAGAAATAAATGTGCTGTGTGTTATCTACACAGGACATGTGTAATACTGAGAGGCATAATGATGAGCCAGAAATGAAATGTATATATCTACAGTTTAAAATCCGTATTACATCATTTATATATCGTAGTACCAATTTTAGATAAAGTATCAAATTAAAAGTTCAGTCTTGCTTTTACGTGTACATGCATTGATTAGACCAAGACTTGTATGCAACTTCAAAAATGTCCAACAACTAAACATTAGCACCGTTATTATTTGAAATCTGCTACCGTAAAGGTGAAATGGTTATGATTTTTGAATGGAGTTCAAGTAATTGTGATCTTGTGACAGTTATATATTCATTGTTTGTTAAATACACCATTTTTTCGTACACTTTCAGTTTGTTGTTACTTCCATATGTAAGAACTGAAGAATATCTATAGTCCATTGTTACATTTGTATACATACACTCAGAATAGACAACAACTGAAATATTTTGTGTTACACTCATATACATACACTCAGAATAGACAACACTTGAAATATTTTGTATTACACTTATACTAAAATAGAGGATGACTTTTTCATCTATGATTTTATCTCTATTTAAAAAGAAATACAACAAAATATATTTGAAACCACTACTGCACATAGGTAAAAGAGGTTACATATATTTTTAATAGTTATCGCTGGTCGTGTGTTTGTTTTGGTCAGTGTTTATAAGAGATTACATGTATTTTTAATAGTTATCGCTTGTTTTCTAATAGATGTCACTGGTCATGTGTTTGTTTTGATTGGTGTTTACAAGAGCGAACATGTTTTTTCTAGTCGTGTTTATTTTGGTCAATATTTATATGATATTGAATGTATTTTTAATAATTATCGCTTGTTTTCTAATAGATGTCACTGGTCATGTGTTTGTTTTGATTGGTGTTTACAAGAGCGAACATGTTTTTTCTAGTCGTGTTTATTTTGGTCAATATTTATATGATATTGAATGTATTTTTAATAGTTATCGCTTGTTTTCTAATAGATGTCACTGGTCATGTGTTTGTTTTGATTGGTGTTTACAAGAGTGAACATGTTTTTTCTAGTCATGTGTTTATTTTGGTCAGTATTTATATGATATTGAATGTATTTTTAATAGTTATTGCTGGGTTTTTAATAGATGTCACTGGTCATGTATTTGTTTTGATTGGTGTTTACAAGAGCGAACATGTTTTTTTCTGGTCATGTGTTTGTTTTGATCAACATTTATATGATATTAAATGTATTTTTAATAGATGTCACTGTTCATGTGTTTGTTTTGATCAGTGTTTAACTAACAAGTATAGAATAATATCCTAACTTTTTGTTTCTGTATTTTAAAGGGTTTGGATCTTGCTTCATCATACACGGTGTGTTGTGTCAGCGAGCTCACAGTGTCTACCTACATCTGGCTTCTGTTTTTCTAGCTGTATCGTACAGTATTGTTGATTATTATTTTAATGTAGAACATCGAGATAATTTTAAAATTGTAAGTATGACATGGACATGTTTAACCATTACATGTTTGAAAAGTTTAAAACAGGTAATAAATGGAGACAATAAGTGTTAGATATATATACATTCATTACTACCTGTATAAAAAATTTTTGTAACTTTATTTGTTTTATATCTTATATTTTGAATCAAATTATTCATATTTAGATACTGTACTGAGAGCTTCTACTCAACATATAAATATGTACAATATTTGCTGTATGATGTTTCTGTCAAGAAAACCAAAATTAAAATAAATAAAAGTCCATGTGATAACTATTCAGATTGATCCTTAACTATTAGGGAAATTTTTGGTAAAGTCACTTAGAATCTTGTGAGTATTGATCCTTAACTACTAGGGTAATTTTTGGTAAAGTCACTTAGAATCTTGTGAGTATTGATCCTTAACTACTAGGGTAATTTTTGGTAAAGTCACTTAGAATCTTGTGAGTATTGATCCTTAACTACTAGGGTAATTTTGGTAAAGTCACTTAGAATCTTGGTGAGTATTGATCCTTAA